CAAGCAAGTACCCCACAAGTTGGGTGCAGGGATGTTGGTACTGCCTATATTGGGAGGTATAAGGATGTTGGTGTTGCTCTAGCCTAAAGGACTTATATGTGCAATCTTTCCATAACCGTAACCTTCTGTAACAACTGCTTGTTATGCATAGTGCCTGCACTCCACGATTGGGTCTCCTTCTGGGAATTTCTATTTCCATCATTGTACTGCACTTGAACTTAACCACAGGGCTTCATATTCAATTACAGACTCCTTATTAGGTTACAAAAGCTAAAATCTTTCAATTTTGCCTCCAGCCGGACTTGAACCATTGACCTTAACTGTGAAAAGTATAGGAGCTTAACCACTAAGCTATGGAACCTACACCCTATTTTCTTATTCATTATTATTAGTTTTAACTTGAATTAATTTATCTCTATATTATTTATTTTAAAAAACTCTTTTACTATTTTTAATATTTCTAATAACTGTTTTTTGCTACTTACAATCCATGTTATATCATTTGCATATGCAATTGCTACTTAATAATAGCTTGTAATATTGTTACAATACATTTCTTCTTTGATTTTTTGTTTTACTATATAGACTAACCTTTTGTTTTTTTATATTTTTTCTATTAGTAAGTTATAGAAAAGGCATTATATTAGTGATAATATTATTTTTTTATTTTTTATTTTTTAAGATAACCTTTTTGGCCTTTTGACTTTTATTAATGACTTATTGGTAATATGATTCTATAAACTACTACAGAAGTAAGTACAATTGGCTGCATATATAACTTTTCTATATTACCTATTTAAGAAGTTTACTTAAAGCTTTTTTACCAATTGCTATATTTAACACTTCTGTTTTGGTATTCTACTTTAAACCCTCTAAATTGTATATATAAAATCTGTGCTCAGTTTAAAGTCATATAGTGATGATCACTTATATGTACTAGTTTTATACTAGTTTTAATTAATGAATTTAATTGTATAATATCTACATCTAATTACTGGCATTTAACAAATATATTTTTATTATTATTACAAGTATTTATAGAAAATGCAATATATTTGTGTTTGTGCTATATATAACTATTTTTGTATTTGGTGTGAGTCCTATAGCTTAATGGTTAAGCTCCCATACCTTCACAGTCAAGGTCAATGGTTCAAGTCTGGCTGGGGGCAAAATCAAAAAGATTTTAGCTTCTGTAACTGAAAGGAGCCTGTAATTGAACATGAAGTCCTGTGGTTAAGTCCAAGTGCAGTATATAATGGAAAAAGAAATTCCTAGAAGGAAACCGACTTTGCAAAGTGTGAGCACTACGTGTGACAGTGGTGTCACAGAAAGTTCCGTTATGCAAAGGGTTGCACATATAAGTCCTCTGGAGATGGGGCAGTACCAACATCTCTGCATCCAACTTGTGGAGTACTTGATTGGAAGGGTGATACCAAGGTAACATGAACTGGAGTGGTGAGAAAAGCGGTGCATGCATAGAAGGTTTGTGACAAAGGATTAGCCTTATCAAGATTAGAAGCACCTCTGGCGCTGTAAAACAACTAAGAATAGAAGGTACCCATTTGCATAGAGAAGTTGTAGCCTGTCCTGTATGTCTAAAGGTTCCAAACCAGAGTTCTGGTCACACCTATATAGAAGCCTATGGTGAAATAAGTGGAATATACCAATATAAATGCTGTACTAATCATGGTTGAGATACCTAAATTGGAAGTGGAAACCTACTCGAACACGATGTGGACACCTTAGTCTAAATGTAGATTCAGGCTAGGATGTTCTTAAAAAGGCAGGAGGATTGCCCATGGTTGAAAACAGAACAAAGAAAAACCTGCAGCATAGTGTGACAGTAGTGGAAACATTGGTCAATGGCTGAAAGAGGATGTGCACTCATCCCCAAAATAGAGTTCCATCTATACTATAAAAGGGAGTACTTAAGGGGCAGGTTAGATGCACAATCCATTGGAAATGACACTAAGACCAAGAAGAGTTGCAAACCAGCAGTGGCAGTAGGAACCTGGCTTGAGATACATGCTACCAGTACCTGAATTGGGAAGTTAGCAGCAGCAGCAGGAACCTGGCTTGAGATACGTGCTAGAGAGGCACCCTTTGGGCAACCAAAGATGGTAGCTCAAAAGGAGTGAACAACCTGGTGGACCAATTTGGGATTTGTAAAAATAGGTTGTGAGACATGGGGGGAATATGTAGGTTATCTAATATAATTAGTAGTGAAACAAAAATCCAGGTTAGGTGTGAGTGGGACACAATACAAAACTCTAGTAGGTTTAGATTGCAGATAAAGATGTCTGAGTCCTATGTCTAAATAGATATATAGTGATAGATAATGTATAATAGATTTGTACTAGCTATAACAAATATACTAATAAAGACTAAAGGGCATGACCTCACCTTAATACTGAAAAAAAAAAAAACTATCTTTGTATTTGTATTATATACTATTGATCATAATCTTTAAACACTATTTGGGCAGTTTTTAACCAAGGCTTTATTCAAACTATGCAGATGTTTTTTCTGCAATCTTTTAGATCATATAGGCATTATAAAGTAAGTTAGGTCTTTATTCTCATACATGTTAGTGTCTTGTGCTTGTTGTATTTTTTTTTTTGTTTCTTATTTTTATATCTAGCATTTGAGGTAACTTGAACCTTAATTCTTTTACCTTTATGTTTATAACTACTACTATTTACACATTCTAAATTTCAGTCACATGTTTGAAAAAAAGAAAAAATTGCTGAATAGACATAGGTATTTTTTACTAAATAGTGCTTTTTATAACTACTAACAAATTTTCATATGCTCTTATCAAATGCAAGATCATTCTTTTTAAAAAGACTCTCTATATCATTATAGGACTATTGGAACTTCTTTATAACCAATTGATAAAGACCTTTATTAGTTTCATTATTATTATCATTACTATATATGCTATCATTATATTTACTATCTTCATCATTACTTTTACTATTTTTAATACTCTTTACTTCAAAGATAGTTGAGAATTGCAAAAATATAAAAGTCAAAAATTTAGGCAGTATATTTTCTTTGTCATCAAAAGTTTGAAAATTGTTGTTACAATCTTTACTAATAACATAATCAACTAAATTATTATTCTTTGAGATTGCAAATTCTGTTAAATACAAAAATTCATTTTGATTAATTGTTTTTTGATATAAATCTGCATAAAAACTTAATTCTTTATAGTTTTCTCCTAATGCCAAATAGGAATAATAATATCTACTATTTATACACATTGTTGGTGTCTGATTTAAGCTGCATATATGATAATGAAATAATATTGAAGATTAATGCTTGCATGGTGCTCCTGTAAGACTGCATTTACATACTCCAAGTTGCATATCTACAAGGTACCATCTGTCAGGGTCTTTACTGCTTTGATGTTTAAACATTAATAATTTATAGTTAATAATTTTAATATCACTTTTAGATTCAAGCTTCTAGCCTGAAAGTTGAAATTGATATACTACAGTAAGTAGCTTGTGAGTATAATAGAGATTCATTATATTAACTATAAAGTGAAATATTTGTACAATATTAAATATCTATATTTGACCAAATATGATATCCTTTATAATTTAGATTCTATTGTTCTATATAGTTTCAAAGTGCTTTTGGAAATGCAAATATTTCAAGTATACTTGATTAATTATTATTGCAGATCATAATGAAATCAGATCATTATGAAATTTAAAGGTCTCAATTTAAGCATATAAGTCCTATCAAAATCCATCTATACTCTTTTTCTAATAATTCTAACCCCAAATCCTAACTTAACTATAAAAAAAACCTAACAAAAAAAGGTTCCAAAAATTTTTAAAAATCATATATAAAATAAGTTAAATTTCATTATGATCTGATTTTATTATGATCTGTCACAATTATTAATGCTTTATACTCTTTTTCAAGTTTAGTTTTAGTCTTTGCAAATATAATCTTCTTCAAACATTCAATTATAATAATATGGTTACTCATATTGATATTATTTTTTCTATCCTATAACCATTTCTACATTGTTTAAAGAAAATAAAAGACACATAGTAACAAAGTTATCTTATTCTAGATATTATGTAATGCAAATCTTTCTGCTTTGCAATCATCTATCATAATAACTTCAGGCCCAACTCTAGGTCCATGTTTATTAAATATTGTTAATGGCATTACAGATTTTAAAGCATTTAAAGCTTCTAAAAAAGTATAAGCAGTTTCATCTAATGTAAGTATCACTACAAGAGGCAAGCTTCTAATAAATGTATTTGTAAAGAGAATCATTAATGGGGTATTAAGAACATCAAGGCCAGCCAGAGTATCCATATTTACTAATTCATTAGCTTGTTGTTAAGAATGATAGTAGCTTATCAGATTGTTTATAATTATAAGAATAAATAGCTGTCTAGAATTGTTACATGTTAGAGCAATATATGGTTGCATTTATGCATATTCTTTTTTATTAACATTAAATTCTTCAACTTCTTTAACTAACTGATCAAACATGTCTTTTCTATTTTTTATATCAACAGATTGAACAGATAGCTCTATCAGCCAATACTTTCTTATTATTATTATACTTTAATTGTATTTCTTATATATACAGTATAAGGAGTGTGGCGACCTAGTGAAGTAGTTAGGTTGTCAACCCCCCAAGTAGTAGGTTGGGTGTTCAAATCCCATTGATGGTAAAAATTTGGATAATCACCTATGTAATATTCGTATTATGGTAACTGTTACTAATGGTTAGGTTAGGATACCTGTAATGACGGTCGCACCAGCATGACTAACAGGTCATGGGGCATCTGTGCAATGTTGGAGTTACATGGAGGAATGCAAACCGACATATCAGGTGGTGCAAACACTAGATAAGTCCTCATGGTCATGTAAATCCATTAAAATTGGGTAACAAGAAGTTTATTTGAGAAGACCTGAGTAGAGAGGTAACTAGATCTTCGATGGCCCTACTGTAAAGGCTAGCCCAGTGAAACGGATACCTAGGTCTAGTACCCGGTTCTAGTAGCCGGATGGGCAAGAACCTCTGAGTTGGGAGTCTCGAAGGTACCACCAACCAGGCTGCCGGAACGAACTGGAGGAAAAGGATATTGGGCTGACCCGATATATTGATGGACTGGTCGTAGTCCTACACGGGCTATCTGGATTGGGAGTCTGGTAAAAGGGTGGGGGAAAAGGCAGGGGTATACTAAAGTACTGGGGTTATGCTGTGAAGTAGATGCTGGGGTCTAAGTGAACTCTACAAG